TTTGATCTTATTCATATAGACACTTGGGGACCTTTTTCAGTGACGTCTACAGATGGATACAGATTCTTCTTGACCATTGTCGATGATCACAGCCGTGCAACTTTGGTTTATATGATGAAGACTAAATCAGATGCTCTTCGTGTTATACCAGAATTTCTGCAAATTGTTGAGACTCAATATCAGAAGAAAGTGAAGTCTGTACGATCAGATAATGCTCCTGAGTTGAAGTTCTCTGATCTCTTTAAACAGAAAGGTATAACAGCTTATCATTCCTGCCATGAGACACCAGAACAGAACTCGGTAGTGGAGAGGAAGCATCAAAATATTCTAAATGTTGCAAGATCATTAATGTTTCAGTCGAACATTCCATTGGAGTATTGGTCTGACTGCATTCTATCAGCGGATTTTCTCATTAATCGGCTTCCAGCTCCTCTATTGAATAACACATCTCCTTTTGAGATCTTAAATACTAAACCTCCGGATTATTCTCTGCTGAAGGTATTTGGTTGTCTTTGCTACAAATCTACCTCTACGAATCAGAGACATAAATTTGAACCGAGGTCAAAAGCTTGTGCTTTTCTGGGATATCCTGCTGGTTACAAAGGTTACAAGTTGTTAGATTTGGAATCTCATCAGATATCTATTTCCAGACATGTAGTTTTCTTTGAGAACCTATTCCCTTTCACCAAAAGTGCAGATCACAAAGATGACTTGTTCACTACACCTGAACCGGATTCATTGTCTCACCTATCTGCAATTCCTGATATGGATAAAGACCTTGATCCGGAAAGATTTCAAGATCCTGATCCTGCACGAGCACAAGATCCTATTTCTCCAACCATCTCTCTTACTGATCCATCGTCTAAACGTGTTAGTAAGCTTCCTGCTCATCTAAAAGATTATTACTATAACACAGTTTCAGATGCTAGATATCCGATCAACGCCTACATAAATCTCACCAGATTGTCAACAGAATATCAAGCTTATGTTTGTGCTGTTGATACTTATGCTGAACCAAGTTCTTATACTCAAGCTAAGAAGATCAAAGAATGGTGTGATGCTATGGGCGTTGAAGAGGATGCATTGGAAGCCACTAATACTTGGCTTGTTTGTTCTCTTCCAGAAGGGAAAACTCCAATCGGTTGCAGATGAGTTTATAAGGTGAAACTGAATGCAGATGGTTCATTGGAGAGATTCAAAGCTCACCTGGTCGCTAAAGGTTATACTCAACAAGAAGAAATTGAGTTCGTCGATACTTTTTCTCCTGTGGCAAAAATGACTACAGTTAAGACATTACTTGCTGTATCAGCTGCAAAGAACTGGTTTCTTCATCAACTGGATATTTCAAACGCCTTTCTTAATGGTGATCTTAATGAGGAAATCTATATGACATTACCTCCAGGATATGCATCAAGAAAGGGGAAAACCTTGCCAGAGAATGCCGTTTTAAAACTGCAGAAATCACTATATGGCCTTAAACAAGCCTCTAGACAATGGTTTCTGAAGTTCAGTTCCACCCTGGCTACTCTTGGTTTCAAGAAATCACATTCTGATCATGCCCTTTTCATTCGTCATACTGCGGATAGCTATGTTGCTTTGTTGGTTTATGTTGATGACATAGTCATAGCAAGCAGGGATGAATCGGCCATTCACCAGTTAAAGTTGGATTTGACAAATGTTTACAAACTCAGAGATTTGGGAGCTCTCAAATACTTCTTGGGTCTTGAAATTTCTCGATCTAATAAGGGTATATCAGTTTGTCAACGGAAATACGCCTTGGAGCTTTTTGAAGAAACTGGTTTGTTGGGTTGCAGACCTTCTAGTATTCCAATGGAGCCGAATCAGAAACTTAGTCTGCATACAGATGAACCAGTACTTGAGAAACCTGAAGAATATCATCGTATGGTGGGAAAACTTATGTATTTGACTATTAACAGACCTGATATCTCATTTGCCGTGAACAAGCTTTGTCAGTTCTCTTCTGCACCAAAGCGATCTCACATGAATGCAGCTTATAAAGTTGTTCATTACATCAAAGGCACAGTTAGTTTAGGTCTATTCTATCCTGCTAATTGTGATCTTCAACTCAAGGCATTTTGCGATGCAGACTGGTCTTCTTGTCCGGATACCAGATGTTCAACTACTGGATATTGCATGTTTCTTGGAGATTCCTTTACTCTCTTGGAAATCTAAGAAACAAGATGTTGTATCCCGATCTTCAGCTGAGTCCGAATATTGTGCTATGGCTCTGGCAAGTTGCGAAGTTTCTTGGTTGGTGAAGCTACTTGCAGAATTATGTGTTACTCAACATAATCATGTTCCTTTGTTTTGTGATTCTAAAGCAGCAATCAACATTGCTAACAACTCTGTCTTCCATGAGCGGATAAAACATATTGAAAACGATTGTCACATCACAAGGGAACGGATTGAGAGTGGATTGATCAAGACTATGCACGTGAGAACACATCATCAACTTGCTGATGTTCTAACGAAGGCTCTATATCCTACTCTGTTTCATGATATCATTGGCAAGATGAGCTTAATCACAATATATGGCTCATCTTAAGGGGGAATATCAGATGTAATTAAAGTCTTGGTTAAGTAGAACGGTTTAGTGTAAACCGATCAATGTATTTCCTGTATTTCTTCTTCGTCTTTCTTTTCTCTCTTGTTTCCTAAGAATGTTAGATTAAGATGATAATAACTGGCTGTTTCTATTAACTTTTTGTAATGCGGAACCATCTATTTGTGGTTGATCGATTTCTGCATAAATAAATCATGAACTATGATAGTTGTACAAAGCGTCTCTTAATTAGTATCATCCTCACCAAATTGCAAACTTTGTAAAATTTAGATACAGTTGATTTCATATTTATGTTGTAAGGGATTGTGAGCTACGATCACATTCAGTAACACCGAAGTCTTGGTTGATATTTATAGATTGATCAATCTTTTCTACGAAGTCTTTATAATGTTAGTTAGCTCACATATTGTATATATTCTATTAAAACAGAAGCACTTTTAGTGCATGTTTCCAAACACACCTAATTTTTTTTATAATATTTTATTTTATATTATAATTAATTTCAAAAATTGGTTACTAATTTAGATATTGTTAGATTTCCTTAAATATAGGTTATATTAATAATTTTATTACAAAAATTAGATAATAATTTTAATTACTTTAGAATTTTTTAAATACAGATTAGATTTAAATTAAAATTTTGAATTTAAATAATATTTTTATAATAGCTGGTAAACAAATATCTTATTGTATTGTTTATCATAATCAATCTGTCTAAAGCATCAAATATTTAATATTAGTAAATATTTATATTTTACAATAAGATGAAAAAGCAAGTTAAAGTTATACATTTATAATAACAATTTTATACGGGTTAGTTTATCAGAACATGTAAGATATTAAAAAATAATTTGAGATAACTAAACGAACGGGTTAGCTAATTCATAGATGTATAGATTGATTATGTGTAAATCTAAATTTACATAATAATAAAGTTCATAATTAACATTATAGATCAATATATACTTAATTAACTCACATTTTTATTTTACTAATATATAAATCTATATTATTCAAAGTTAAAACATGATAACAAAATTCTTGAATTAAAAAAATAAATAAAATAAATAAATTCTATTAAAAAATTATATTAGAATAAAAAAATAAAAAATTTCTGTGCAGACGCACAGGGTTAGAATCTAGTATGTAATTAAAACGATAGAACTAATAGAATTATTTCAATTAAAAAATTATTTCAATTAAAAAACTAAAAAAGAACACAAAACTTTTTACTTTTTATAATCGATGATTCGATGAAAATGAAAAAAAAAACTTAAAATTGTTTTTATCTCAACCATCTACTCAACTAAACATTATAAAGGTGTTATTTTCTACCTTTTCTCCCTTGCGGAAGTCATCCTAAAAATAAATTTAAGAGAAAAAAAATCAAAACTAATTTTAACGACTTTATTACTAAAAGAACACAGCCAACGACTTGGACTTTAATTTTATAAAGCAAGTATTTTGAGCTTTGTTTGAGTCACTAGTTTTGTTGGAATCTATATGTTTTTTTTTTTGTTAAAAGACTTTCTTAAATTGACAAATGTAAAAGATTACAAGAAGCAAGGAAGATCTGTTACAACTGGAGTATATGTTTTATTTTGTTGTCTTAAACAAATGCTTTCATACAAAAAAATGCTTTTATTTTTTATTTTTGTGCCGCAAACAAATGTTATTGGTATTAATCTCTAGATTATTGATTGTCTTTCTAATATTTCTAAAAACTATTACACGAATAAAAAAAAATAGTTAAAGAAGTGCATCATTTAGCAAAGAATAGAGTTTGATGTTACATAACATTTATTAAAATACTATTCTATTATAAATTTATTATCAATCAGCGACAATTTCCCGTCGCTGGATTTTTTTTTGTTTTTGTTTTCTTTTTTTAAGAAAATGTGCCGTATATACTTGGGACTGTTCCTAATTTGCTAAGAAGGAAACTCCACTGTTTCGACACTGTGCTATTTCTTTTAATACAACATTACCCCTTATACTATCAATCCTATAGCTAAGATCATGCGTCTGTATGTCGAGATTGTGTTTCAAATTTAATAATTTTTTATTGAACGAAAAGATAAGACTACATATATTTAAATTTTAAAATTCGAAATTTATTGCTTCCTTCTTTGTTAATATCACCGATATTTTGTTACAGTTTCGAATAAATCTGGTTCGAGTATAACATTTTGGGTAAATTTCTTGTTAGGCTGGATCTCTAAACTACAAAAGTTCAAAGACGGTTTTTGTCCTCTCCTCAAGCCATTTATTGGAAACTCTCCCACTATCCGTCTTCCACTTTCGGTAAAATTTGAGTTTTTTTTGTTGCAAATATTCTTACTTTCAACTGTAATTTCGTGATTCGCAGTATACCCGTTCTGATTTATTTTTCTTCTTGTCAGTTCAACCGAAACATATGTCCAATTTTAGTTTTCCTGCAAGGATTTTCGCCACCGGTCATGAACCAGTAGGTGAGAGGGTTAACTCTTACCAAAAATCGAAAGCCGTCAAGGCCATCCTTAATGCGCTTGATCATGAAGAAGCGAAGAGATTACAAGACTCACAATTGGGGAAACTTCTAGCGACTATGGAGCAACCGTCGTTTTCCGGCAGTTTTGGCTTCTACATGCTATCTCGGCTTTTGCGCGTCAAGAAGAAGCACGAGTTGTGGTTCCTGTTCGCCGGTCGACCAATTAGATTTTCTCTTCGAGAGTTTGTATTAGTCACCGGTCTGGAATGTGGTAAGATTGCCCAGAAAAAGAAGAAAAAAAATCTGGTCTCCCAAAAACCATATTGGCCGGAACTATTTGGCCTCCTAAAATCGTGCACGGTAGATTCGGTTGTCATGATGCTGCAGAAGAAAAAAATATCAGATAAGGAGAAAAGGTTTAAATGTGCTTGTCTTGCAGTAACTGCCGCTGTCCTGGTTCCTACATCTCATATCACGAAGATAATTCCAGAGCATGTAGAATTGATCAGGGATATTGACGAGTTTCTTTCATACCCATGGGGGAGAGTAGGTTTTGATTTGCTGGTGTCTAGCATCAAGTCAAAGGATGAATTGGAGTTGTCGCAGAAGACCATTGCTGTTAAAGGTTTCTTCTACGCTGTTCAACTCGTTCTGATGGCCGCCGTTCCATCTCTAACCGAAGTTGTTCAGCCTCCATTTGGTGAGTCTGATAGCGATGTTGAAGATGAGATTGGTAGTGGTGATGATGGTAATAACGACGTTGATGAAGCTATAATGCCGCAAGGGACTGCCACACCAGTAGCTGTGAAAATGACTCTTAGTCCTAGTCATGCACGGGAACTCGATGAAGATGAAAAGGTATGATAACCCGAATACAAAACTCGTATTAATTCTGTTATCATATAATTTTAATATTATCAGTCTAACGTACGGTGTAGAATACAATATAATAGATGTCTCTATAATTATTTATGTAGCATCTGTACTATATATATGTATGTTACTATAGTTCGGTCTCCTTCATTTCTTCTTCGATGCTAATTTCCTTTCACTAGCAGGTCTTGGTGCATTCAATCTTATCTAATGACGGCGACTGTGCCATCGAGAGAATGGACTTATGATGGGATGACGAGGTTGCTGATGACACTGTTGAGGTTTTGGTGAAACTCATAGGCGAAGGCTTTCGATTCACCAAAGATATGTTTACAGGTGGATTGTCTTCCACTGATTTAACCCGCATGCGAATGGAGAAAGCTCAGAAAGAGAAAGAAGCCAAAGACAAGAAGAAGAAAGACAAGTCCGCTGAAAGCTCCGCCCCCGTTGTTCATCTCGAACTTGATTCAATTGCTGATTTGGTTGCTGATAAGTTGAAAGTAGAGTTGCAGAGTTTCAATAACAGGCTAAAGGATCTCGAACCTGCTGTCTTGATGCAGGATACCAAATTCCCAGAAGTTATCTCCGGTTCACTTAATTTTCTACAGAACGCCGTTATCGAAAGTATTAACGGTTACCTTAATCGTAGAGACGCTACAAGAGGGTCAGACAAACCAGTCCACTTTAACTCACCGCATTCGCCTCCCAATATCCGGTCAGGTGTCGAGACAAAAGTCGACAATCCTCCTGTCTCGGTGACCCCTATAGTCCTTGGATTCTCACCCAGCAAACCCAAGTCTGTTTCTCAACCACTAGTCCCAACTTTTAACCACTTACCAAAGCCCACCCCCCTTGCAATGAGCGATGACGAATTCCTGCGTAGTCTAACCCAATCTATTAACTCTCAGGTAATGTACATAACTAGAACCTTAACCCTCCAATATCTAAGTAATTATTTTTCATATTTTTCTGTATTCTTTAATTGCAGGCCAACGATCCCTCCCGTATTGGTGGTGATAAACCCATTAATCCCTCAGTGTATTCGCCGTCTAATCCCATGATGACGAGCAAAGCTTTAGGTGGAGAGACAACACAACCAGTTGAGGTTACTTGTATTCCGAATCAAATTTGGGGTAACACAATTTTTGTCCCGTAATTGTTGTCGTACCGATGTATATTATATTGTGGAACAGATATTTTTTTTGTTGGTTGCTATAAATTATATTACTGTCCAATTTGCAGCAATGTGGATTAAAGCAGAGTGTTCTCAATTCACTCCCCGATGACATGCTTAGAGGAAACACGAAAGCGGTAATGATTTGTTTAACCAATGGGATAGATCTCATTTTTATTCTATTCTAACCATTACCGCGTACTTTAGATGGATCTGCTCATATCGGTATCCCCATCTTTCTCACTGGGATTCACCCAAGAAGATAAACGCGAGGAGCTTGAGCACCACGATTTAAATGTGAAGGCAACCATGGGTGAGGAAGATGGTCCACATAAAAGCAAAAGATTGAAGACGACTTCGGTTGTGTATAAGGATTACCATTGCGGGTTCAACCGGCCAAACTCTATCAAGCCACCGTTTTCTATGATGTGTGATCCCAGTGTTAACTACGGTATGAGGTTTACGGAGTTGAAATCAAAGCTTCTGCAAGACAGGTAATGATTATCTACATTAATAATTAACATATATCTTTATAAATAAGAGTTTATTATCTTTGTTACATTCATATCAAACATGATACCCTATATGCAGCCGACCCGTAGAGGTTTATGAGGGTGCAAGTGTCGCCACCAAAGATGTTGTTGACATTGGGGAGCGTGTTCGCGTCATGCTTCCTACGGTAATCTTCTTTTTGTTTTACCAATGGTAGTTCTTATGCTCAATCTGCAATCTTCATATCTTTCATAGGTGCTCGATCCGTTAATGTACTACCTCCGTCAGCATTGTGGCCCGCAAATGTATCCGCAGAACTATATGAAGATTGACTTCTTCGACACCAACTTCCCTATCCTTATTAAGTCTCAGTACGCCAAGTTTACTAAGACTGCCATGAAAGATCGTTCTAAGTTCAAATTTTCAGCCACTTTGATGCATTATTTTACACCAGAGAACCCACAGCGGTCTTCACCAGAGTCCGTTTATTTCCCGTTTAACTTCGATCAGAGACATTGGGTTGGCGTATGCGTTGACATTACTAATGCTTCAATTTTGGTTCTTGATTGCAATGTCGCATTCCGGACCGACAACGCCCTGAAAAGAGATTTCGCCCCCATTGCTAACTTGTTCCCATTTCTTGTTAGAGCTGCAACCACGAAGGCACTCTGAGACGAGAAACCCTATTCATTGCAGAGAGCTACCAGCATTCCGCAAAACGTGATAAACTCTGACTCTGCCGTCACGTCGTTGTTGTTAATGCAGGCTCATGCACGCGTTGGTTTGGATGGGTGTAGATCAATAACCCCAGAGTTAATGGCTGCTGAGGCTTTTAAGTTAGCTGTCATGTTTTATGACGAGTTTGGACCGAATGCCCAACTTCAAGCTTGGAACAAACTTTGTTTTCTCTGTTTCTGTCGTTGTACTTTGCTTAAAAGGTTGTTATCATCTCCCATTGCCTGTACTCTAAAGCATTTAGTGTCCCTTATGCGTTGTTGTAACCGCTACCTTAATTCTTACTAGTTCCCAACATTGTTATTTTGTATTTATATGCTATAAGGTATTACCTGATTTGGTTAGACCTAATTTGGTTTACACCACATTTACAGTCTATCGCTCAGTTATGAGGTTTTCCTGTTCCTATAGTTATTAGTTCTCATTGTCAAATGTTGCAAATCTAATAATATTGTTACATCTTTAAACAATATTTTACATGTAATAGGTTCAGTGTGCACCGCCAAACTACTTCCATATTTCAAATGTTAATTGTTAACATGTGAAATAGTTACTAACAAATTCATCTATAAGTGCTTTCTGTTTAATCTTTCTAATTTAAGTATCGAAATATTCTCTATCTAAGTTTGATGGATCAATGTGACAATTAGCAAGCTAAAAAGGTTGTTCAAGCACTACCCAAAGTTTAACATAATATCTTACATTATAAAGCACCGGAACATAAGTCTGACAGCAAATATATTACAAACAGGGCAAGGACAAACCGGACATATATCACATTTGATATTGTCTTCTTAAGGGACTTACGCATACTACACTACAAACACAACGTGTTTGAAAATTTGGCTGGCCCTTATCTCGGCTCTTAACAAAAACAAAAGATGCTTATCTTGTCCTTCCCTCACGTTCATTCATATTGGGTTCTTACAGGTCGCTCGGTTGTGCCCCAGGCCACCACAACGACCACATATCGTAAGTCGCTTCGTTGATTTCCCCTGCAAACTTATGGTTACAAAATTCTCACTTATATCATTGTTACTCGCTATAGTATACATTAACATCTACCATATGTAATTACTCGTTAACTACGAACTTACCCTGAATTCACCTCGAGAGTAAATGCGCTGTTTGCGGGGGCGCCTAGGTGGACGTCTTGTAGCCGGAGGCATAAGTGAGAACTGGCCTATCACATCTCCATTTTCGGTTGGTGACTGATAATATGCTACAGGAAAGATGCTCTCCGCGTAAGCCATTCTCCAGAACGCCGTTGTTAATTCTTCCCCAACTAACTTCTCCACGTTTGTGTTAGATCGTACAGCCGCCGCCACGGCATGAGAACACGGAATAGATAGCATCTGATACTCGCAGCAGGTGCAAGTTTTCTTACAAAGATCCACACGGTAAGAGATTCCCCTCTTATCGGTGACCTCGAACTCACTTTCGTTGATGCGTATGACGCCATACCCTGTCACCATTTAAAAGTTAGCAGCTACTATTTTCTGAACCCTTTTTGTAAGCCCATTTGTCTCACTGTTTGCCAACGCACGCCTATTTTTAAACCACCTCACCAGCGTCAACCGTATGTGTTCGAGAAGAGGAATTATAAGGTATCCCCGAGCCTCTGCTAAAGTTGCGTTCAAAGACTCAGCTATGTTGCTGGTCATTACATTGTACCTCACCCCAGTGAAGTGTGCTCGGCTCCATTGCTCGAAACCAACGCCCGCCAAGTATTCAGCACACGATCGGTCTATCTCTACAATCTCGTTGAAGTGTGCGTTGAACTCGGATACGTTGAAAGCTCGCGCTGCCTTCGATATCAGATAACCAAGGTGCTTCTTTTTAAAGATTGATTGGACATTCCTTTGTAGGTGCACAACACAGATCCCATGTCGGGACTTCGGGTACGTCTGCCAACAACACAAAATACACTCCACATTAATTAATATATAACCATCCAAAATGTTAACGGTTATTAACATTAATTACTGACCTTCGAAAGTGCAGCGTAGATCGAGTTGTGACGATCCGACACGAAAACTACATCTCCCCCATCTGGAACTATCTTCACTAGGTTTTCGAAAAACCAGGTCCACGCTTTGTCATTTTCCCCATCTACTATGGCGAACGCCAACGGGTAAATTTGATAGTTTCCATCCTGTCCACTGGCTGTCAATAAATATCCTCCATAATTCCCCTTCAGATGAGTCCCATCAACTACTACCACCTTCCGCATGTACTTAAACCCTAGCACACAAGCTCCAACCGCATAGAATAGGTATTTGAACCGCTGGCCCACACCTTCCTCAATTTCCGTCTCAAGTGAGATTATCGTGCCCGGATTAGCGATCACCACATGTTGCAGATAGGACGGCAACAACTTGTACGAGCTTCCACATGTCCCATTTGCATTGTCCATCGCCACCTGTCGAGAACGCCATGCCTGATATAAATTATATACCCCACCAATCTTAATTTTAACACGTTCCGATTTCAAATAACGTTTATCACAACACTTACCTTCCAGTACGTGATGGGGACATCGTGATCAGCTCACATTGTGTCTCTCACTTCATTCGGTTTAGGCCCCGCACCTCGTCCAGCATATCGGGCACGCATGATGTCGCCTATCACATTTGAAGTCGCATGTCTCTGAAAGTTCCCACGTTCGTCAACGGTGCACAAGTGCTCCGGCTTCACTCGTCTCACTTGGTACCACTCCGAACCACTCATCGTCACAGTATAAACTCTCCAGGGGCATCTTTTCCCGACGCATTCTAAAACCATAACGGTTGTTGTTGATTTCTTATGTGTGAACCGGAATTTATGGTGGAGAGCGTACATAGCCATGTGTAGTTTGAAGGCTTCTCTATTCTTAAACATCATACCAACCGCCACCTCCTCTGTCCTTGTCAATCCATCACCTGTTCGGTAACGTTATTTTATTAGTTAACCCGTTATTATATCAGATAATCGTTATGTTCTCTTATATCTACATATTCACAATGTTATTATACTAATATTTTCTCTCTAATCTCACCTACAAACACAGCCACCTCCAAGTCCTCGCCTTCGCTATCCTCTGTCATGGGGTCATTGTTATCCGACGAAGGACATGCCAATGTCAGTGCCAGTTCCGCCCCACCTTCCCAATTTTTTTCAGACATCTTTCCTTTTCCTTTGTCCTCACTAAATCTGAGCGTCGTTGGAGTCACACTTGCGCCACAACCTTTAGTACCAGCTGCAGCAACAAATAAAACCCACATTTATTCATCTTATTTCAACAAGATTTCCTTACATGCACGAAATTTATGTACCTTTCACGGGGGTCACCAATGCAAGGTCAGCCAGTGCTGCGCCAAAGCTGCCCGGTTCCATGGTTGTGTCCTCCGTGTCAGTAAGCCTTATGATTCCATCCACTGGTGTGGAAGCACCCGTACGAAAGTTGCTCGACCCCGCCGAGCACTGTTCATCACTGTCAACTTCTATGTCCACCTGACACCGCGTCTTAACACTGTTCATCAGACCATCGAAGCTCTCATTCTCGTTAACCATTACGCAGAAGCTTTCAACCACTTCGCCACCTTGAAGCTCCACAACCCAGATTCCGTTTTCTCCCAGACACCACGAACCACCATAACTAGACTTCCAACCATCTGCAAACATCACGCAAGTTCGTTAACATGCAAGATTACATCCATCACTTACACGTATATTTTTCCTCAATTTCTTTCACAAATTACATGACTCGCATTAATGGTGGGTCTATTTATGGTAAACTATACATTTAATGCACAAAGAACACACATAACTACTTAAGAAACAAAAGGAATGTATTGAAGAATCATAGGATAACTGTCCACTTACCTTTCTAGACGAAACTCCTGAATCTTTTTCGACCTACTCAAACTAGAAGACAACTTTAACTTTAGGTTTTTTTCTGGCTTTTTCTGGAGGCTGATAATCGCATTCTAGTGGACGATACCACTTTATATAAAGAGTAAAAAAACCCTAGTAACATACACATACATGCATACACATGACTATGTGACATGCATTACCAAATCTTTCCAGATATTATATTAAATGAAGAGCTTCGGGAGAGGTAATTTTCTGTGGTGTGCAGAGCCCTACAGGCCGACCTACTTCGCTACAGTTGTTTAAAGATATCACCTATAATATCTACAGATAGTTATTAAATTAAATTAAAAATAGCAATCCTAATTATATAAAGTCAGTTCGAGGGATTTTTCCGTAAAAAACCATTAATTTGAAGTCGCTCATCTCCCTCATTTTACTGTTTTTCCTTATTGGCAAATTTTGACCTAGTCTTAGTCTATATAGCAAATTGTCTCTTTTTTTTTTTAAAGTTTTCAGCCGTCTCTGGATCTTTGTGGGACCTTTGAACTACTTGGGTTGTTATTTCCGTTTTTAGGTGGCAAAATATAAAAAAAATCTTAAATGAAACTTGCCAAAAAAGTTACCAAAACCACTGTTACGGTGGAAAGATCATACATACCGTTTGAATTTCCTTTGTTTCTTTTTGATATTGATACATCTTTGAATAAAGTCCACATAGTTGAATTGAAGTTTATTGCATTGGAGATCTTTTTTTCTGATTTACATTTTTGTTAACATTTTTACTTTATATTTTTGTGTTATTAGTTGGACTTAATTTGAACAGAGAAGAAGAGAACGGCGTTTTTTTGTTTCTTTTTCATTTCTTTAGTATTTTATTAATTTGAATAAAATCATAAATTATTTGCAAAAAAACTCTATTACATATAGTACAGTATATAGGTAAATTTTTAATAAATGATCTAACTAAAGTGTACAAAATTTATCTCGGGCACATATGCGGATAGCTTTCTATAGAACTAGGTGTTTGGTCCGTGTATTGCGCGGACGAAAATGTTTAATTAAATAATTATATTAATTAAATTATTAAATTTATTAGTGATAATAAACTAAATGCAAATATAAAACAATGTAAGACGTATGATCAACAAACCAAAAAACATAAAAAAATAATAATAAATATTTGTAGAAACTAACTAAAACTAACAATTGTATCAAAACCATAAAAATAACTAAAATAAAACAAAAGATAGGTTTTAAAAATATTCAGAAACACTTGTTTATATACAATGTTTATAGTCTCCTACTGTGACTTCTTTTTTGGATTTGTAATCAACATCTTGAGTTCTTTTTTTGATGTTATTCTTAATTTTTTGTTCTTAATTCTTTGTTCTTCCTAGTCAGAACTCTTTCCCCGTGGAAATTGTCTCTTCTTCTTATTGGTTCTTATTTTTTACGCAAGCACATACATGAAACTTTGATATTATTTCGTAAACAAACAATTGTTTTGGTAATTTTGATACTATGTTAAGCTTCATCTTTAAAGTACTCACTATTTATAAAAATTAAATAGTTTATTTTTTCATTTTCTTTAGCCTTAAATATCTCTATATTTTGGTAGAATTGACTATATCCTTGCCGATTTTTATATTTTTCGTAAGCGTAAATACGAAAACCATTGTATCAGAGCGTATGTAACCAATCCATTTTGTTAGCTTTGACACTATATTACGTTTTATCTCTGAATTTTTTATTATTTGTATATTTTAAATTTAAGGATTATTTTAGTTCTTCGTTCTCATTCTTCCTATTTCACAGGAATTGATTCTTCTTATCCATATTTATCTTTTATGCAAGCACATGTACAAAACTTTGATATCAAAGCATATGAAAACAATCTATTTGGTATTTAAATACTATGTTAAGATTTATCTTTAAAATAGTCATTATTTTTATACATCAAGTTTACAGATTATTGTAAATTTTCATTCTTCCCAGCCGAATATCTCTCCCTTTTTTGTCAAAATTATCTCTCATTCTTGTCTGCTTTTATCTTTTTTGCAAGTGTAGACACGAAAATATTATATTTGAGTGTAGGTAAATACTTACTTTGGTAACTTCGATATTATGTTAAGTTTTAAATCTAAATTAGTCATTATTTGTATACATAAAATTTAATGGATGATTTTAATTATTTGTTCTTATAGCCAGAACTCTCTTCTCATTTTATAAGAATTGTCATTCCCAGTACTTATCTTTCACTCAAGTGCATTAAAGCCATAAAATTTTGGGTAATTCACCATGGCTATATTAACAAAGGCTCACATATAATAAAGATCTCAGTGATTTGAAAAGTTTTCTTAGATTGCGAAAGACTATACAATGAATCAACACATATTAGAGAGCTGGAGGATTCTAGCTTTGCGAAAAAACATATTTTTCACTTGCAAATTCTGATCAAACGAATATATGGCTCAAGAATTACCTTGAAGCACAAACAAAATTCAAAAAATTGAAAAGTTAAATTACCTTTTCTTCTTGGCTTCACTGTCTTGCTTTTCTTTTCTGAAGATCAAAAAACGTATTGAAATTTAAAACAAACAATTAGATAATGCAGAAGAGCTACAAATCAAACATAAATAATTAATTCAAAAAGTAAAGAACATATCAAATTACAAATAATTACCTTCTCATTAAGAAGATAATTCTCAGAGATAACTTGCTACAATGGTTTATTAGGATTTTGTCTATTCCCACCAGTTTTCCAAAATCATTAAAGAATAAAACAAAAATTTTACGGGAAGAATGAGTGAAGAGTTGTTTGCAGAGATAGATGTTAACCAGTGCAAAGTCATCATTTCTAAAAAACAAAATCACACCAAATTCAAAGAAAACAAATAAATAAGAACAAAACCAAAATCTCTAATGTAAGCACTATATTGGGAAGTCCAATTTGCTTTGCTATCAAAGATATATCTCTAAAAGAAGAAAAAAATAACAGGTTTCCCGTTCACCAATTTTGAGAAAACAAAACTATACAGAAACATAAAGAAGGAAAAAAGAAAAAACAACAAATGACAACTATCAAGAACAAATAAAACCTAGAATATGAACAATATGAACAATAAAATAAATGATCGCTAAAACCTAGAGCTATACGTATATATATATAAAGGTTCACGTTCAAAGCTAGGACTTTTCTTTTATTATTAATTTTTTATTTATGAAAAGTGGATAAATACAAAAACTTAAGCTGCAATGTTTATGTGTATTAGTCAATTTATAGTAATAGTGATTTACTTATTTGACATTAACGTAATTTTATATTTAAATCAACTCCAATTGCAAAATTGGTATTATAATTGTCGAACTTAATATAAACCACTAAACTTAATTTAAACCGAATATAAGGGTATTAAAGACTTTTCTATGAGGGATAAAAATAATTAACTATTTTGAGAATCAATGAAAAGTCTCTAAAACTAAAATTTATTTCACTTTTAATATATATAATATTCAATATACTCTTTAGTCACCCACTCTCAGTCTGTACCTCATTAT